CCGGTTTTTCTATTTCACTGTGAGTTGCGGTAGAGGATGCCGCACTGGTCTCGGGGCTGGGTTTGGATGCGAGCCTGGATACTACCGGCAGACCCACGTAGGTGACCCTGCGAGGACTCTAAATTAGAGAACAACAAAAGGTAGCTGGGAAAAAATGAAACTGAACAAGGAAGAAATGAAAGTGTTACAATTAGCTAATTGGGCCCAGTTCTTCTGGATGCAGCTTTATCTCTGCCACTGTGCACAGAGCTCTTCTCCACATCAAAGACTACTACAAGCCTGGAGAATTGGAACCGATGTTTATGGAGTGCTTTGAAGATGTAAAGTACTGTTTAAATGTTAAGTAGTATTATTATGACTTAAAATTGTAAATGCCCCCCCCTTTTTTTTTTGGTGGGAATTTTTAATATGTTTTTGATTCTTATTTAATGCCAAGAGTGAGCCTGTTTGTGAAAGGCTATCTGGATACAGGCTGGGGTGGGGCAAGCCACCAACGTATCCTTGGAATACTGAACCAAATTCACCACTCTGTCCTTGTAAATTGTGTTTTCTGGGAAGATGAACACTGTCAATCTGATGCTGTCAGTTTATGTAAGAACATGTCTCAAGATCTAATTGAAATACAGCATCTTTCCAGGCAGAGTTGATAGAGTTATCACATTACAGATTTTATTTGACTCTGCATCTCAATTCATTGCTTTGTATAGTTTCCAGATTTCTTCATAAAACAGAAATTAGACACAGTCTTGACATTAGAATTTCACAAAGAAGCAATCAAACCCAAATTACTTCGAAGAAAGAAAGGACTATAAAAGTGACTAAACCAAATGAAAGGAAAAAACATTCTGGAGGGCCCTAGTTCATGAATTAATTTTCTTATTTGGTCCTTGGGACAAATCCAACTTAATTTAGGAGGTTGCCAGACGTGAAACACAAGGACAAACTTTTGCATCTGTGGCTACTATGAGCTTGAAGATAAATACCGTAAAGTTTGGAAGTTTTGTTTACTTTCATCTTTTTTTTGACAGAACTCAGACAATAAACTCGACTGGTCAGTATTCCTTTCATGTGTTCACTGTGTGCTAATAGTTCTTTTTTTTTTTTTTTTAGTATTGGTATGGAATTTTTTAAATTAAAAAATCATCAAAGCTTAAATGAATTGCCCGACATAAAACTTGGATCCAAAATGGAACACAGTCATTGGGCCTTTGCAATTTCCTATGGTAACCAAAGACCAAACTGTGTTTTAAAAACTATTCTAGTAATGAGTTCACAAGAGGTCTCAAGTTACTAAGTGGCTTTGAGCCTCTTTTGAAACCAAAGCAAAGGAAAATCTCATTAATTTGAACTGTGCTAATAACGGAATTTGTTATAATTCAACCTGGCCTGAGCTGCAGTTTACCTTTGGTCTACCTGTGACGGCAAGTTTACCGGAATGACCATAAAGAAGATTGTGCAAGAAATATTTCATGTCTTTAAAAGAATAAACTGTTCTAAGGCTTTTAGCACCTCGTTCTTAGCCAAATAAATTCCTGTGGAATCCAGATGAGTTTTAAATATTGATTGGAGCAGACAGGAAGTAATACTACTTAGGAACCCTTTCTTTGCCAAATTCTTCTCCGTACTCCAAAGAAATAAAGGTTCATTTTGTTTAAAGATTCTAAACAGTTCCTTTAATGCAGACAGATCTCTTAACCTGCCCTTCATACCAGTTGTCATGAATGAATGAAGTTTTACTGAAGCAGTAGCAATGATCAGTAATTACAACCACTAACAAAGGAAAGAACTCAAAATAATGTGTTTTTTCCATGGCACTTGTCTGTGTCAGGCCATGTGTTAAGCACTTTCTGATTTCTTTACACCGTGTCTGGTAACCAATAGGTTCTTAGTAGATGGTCACACTTACTATTAAAGTCATCTGTGTCTTCTTCCAGCTATAGAAGGACATTAACATCTGTTGGCCTCACTGATATCAATGGACAGATAAAGTATGGTCAAAGAAAAAGGAGGAAAATATCATAAATAAAGAAATAGATTAATAGACGATAGAAGATTAGATAGATATGGGGGGAAGGTGGGTGGATGGATGGATGGATAGATAGGTAGGTGGATGAGTAGCTGAACGGATAGACAGATGGATAGGTAGGTAGGTAGATGGATAAATAGATGGATGGATAGATAGAAAGAAGTAGCAAAGCAAAGAAACAGGAAGAGGTGACACTTTGGCCATGCTAGCCTGGTGCTAGGAAGGGTTCTTCTCTCGACCCAATCAAGAACTGCAGCAGGGCACATTAGAAGGTTAGGCATGAACCAAGAATGACACAGCCCTCCCAGCAATCACAGAAAACCAGCTAGATTCTGTATTTGGGGGCTCTTAGGATGAGGGAGCCAATGGGAACCAATGGGAGGAACCCAAGCAGACTAGCTACCAATCTGTCAGGGAGGCTGCAGAAAGGCTCAGTGGTGGGCTGTGTGTGCCAAGTAAATACCAAGGGCCCGCTAACTTGAGGGATTGGTTTGATTCCATGATGTCTGAATTGGGTTCTTCCACCACAGCGTTATCAGGGTATCATTTAATGGGTACCAAAAGTCCCCCTCCTTACCAGAGGAAATGCTTCAAATTCTCACCATCCCATTTACATTAAAATTTTTTTAAACCTTTATTGCTTTATCTGGTTATAAAAATAATACCAAATAAGTAAACAAATAAAATAAGAGAGAAAGGGGAAAGGAAAAGAAACACAGCTCTTCATAAAAAATTCAAATAATATAGATGAATACCAACCAATGAGCAAGTGAAAATATGTATGATCCCATCACTCAGTGATATCCACTACTAACATGTTGGTAAGTATCTAATTAGGAGTAAAAACAATATATTTAAAGGATACCTACCATGCATCGGAGATACAAGGGACAAAATACAGTTATAGTCTCTGAGCTTAGGGACTTCATAATCTACTTAGAAGAAACAAATTAGATGAGTTATTACAAACGTGATGAGTATTTTGTCACTTGTTCTTTGCACTCAGCAATGGTCATAGCCATTTTCCCATGTCAAGTATATACATACATATATATCAGGGATAAAAAATATCACTAAAGAGGTGCCTGGGTGGCTCAGTCGGTTAAGTATCCAACTCTTGATTTTGGCTCAGGTCATGATCTCAGGGTTGTGAGATCGAGCCCCGAGTGCGGCTCTGTGCTGGGCATGGAGCCTGCTTAAGATTCTCTCTCTTTCCCTCTCCCTCTGCCCTTCCCCACCCCCCAAAGTATTAAGCATCATCACCCATTCCCCTTATTCTTTCTTCTAAAGAGGATTCAATCTTTGCCTGCTTATTCCCTAGACCTTTTGTTGGGCTCATCAAGGACAGGAACACGCTAAGAGTGAGTATCTTGATTTGCATCAGGAAGGACCTGAAGCCTCCTGGGGTAGAACAGAGTGGGCCAAAATGTGAGGGAGAGGGACTAAGAAGGAAGGAATGCCTGGAGACAAGAGATAACCCAGAGAAGTGGGCTGGGCTGAGGTCTGGAGGAAGCGAGGGGAAGTATTGGGAAGGTAGCTGCTGAGATTCATGAGGAAACCTTCAGATCTGAAGGATTTCTCAAAGAGACTTCAATTAAGAGGTCAGTTATTTCCTAATGCCATGGGGATTGGGGACTTAATGATTCTTTGAAAGGTGCCACGACATTGAGATGGCCACCATATGGCCAGGAGTGGTTTGATGTTGTGTAGAATGACCTGATCCTTTTTAATGGTGGTACAGTGTTTCATGGTGTGGGTATACAGAACTTTATTTAATCCCTCCCTATAGGCAGGCATGTAGGTTGATATAAATGCTTTTGCAATTAAATATAAATGCCATGATTACATCTTTACAAATTGGTTGACTTCTAAAGAAGTGAATAGATAGATGAATGATAGGTCGGTGATAGATAGATAGATGATAGATAGATAAATGGAAGGAAAGAAGGAAGGAAGGAAGGAAGGAAGGAAGGAAGGAAGGAAGGAAGAAGGGAGGGGGGAGGGAGGAAACAACAAACTGGTATATCCATGCAATAGAATACTACTCAGCAATAAAAAGGAATGAAGTATTGATGGACAACTGGGATGAATCTAAAATTAATTATGCTGAGTGAAAGAAGCTAGACTTCTGTAAGTTTCCATTTATATAAAATTGAGACAGAAAGCAGATCAGCAGTTGCCTAGGGCAGGAAAGCAGATGATGGAGGGGGACGAGGAAACCTTTGGGAGTGATCATATATTCATGATCTTGATTGTGGCGACAGTTTCAGGGGTGTATACATATGCCAAAGTGTATCAAATTGTACAGTTTAAATACATGCAGATTATGGCATATCCATTATAACTTAATAAAGCTATAAAGTAGGTGATGATAGATAGACAGACAGTTGGGGGGTGCGTTTTAAAGTGAACAAGAGAACAGAGACCCAGCAGAGACCTCTTTATGGGCTGCTGGGCTGGGGACTGGGGAGAAAGGTGAAGAGTCAAGTATAATAAGGACTCCAGTGGGATACCACAGTACAGAGAGGTGGGATTTGGTGGGGGGGGGTGTGGAGGGGAGGTGAGGGGGTAGTCCTGATAATAGGGCTTCTAGGAATGAGAAGTGGGCTGGGCAAATGGTCTCGCACCTGAGCCCCAAACCATACTAGTTTCCATCCTCAGGGTGGGCCTATTTATGGCCCCTCTGCCCCAACCTAGATTGCCCCAGAGCCCAGCACTGAGCCTGGCACATGGCAGGCGCTCAGTAAATGTTTGTCAACATGAACAGACCTCACTTAAGCTCCACCCAGCCACCGTGAACACATAGGCATCCCAGGTATCCCATCCTCCTCCTGGCAAAGGCCTGGACCACCTTCCCACGCTGGCCTGGCACCCACCTCCATTCCACAGTCCTCCAGCCCCTGGCCCCACCTGCTATCTTCCACTCAAGCCCGTCTCCTGGATCTAATGACCAAATCCACTTCTCCAGCCCTACCTTAGAAGCTCCTCTTTGGACACGGATTCATTCTCTCTCCCGGCTTCCAATGATGTCCGTAGCTTCTGCGGGAGGCAGGTTATCTGAGGTCGGTTACAAGACTGGAACAGACCCGGGTTCGTGCCCCAGCTCTGCCTCTCTCTGACTTCTTGGCTGTAGGCCGATGACGTTTCTTTCTGAGCCTCCATTTTCTCATCTGTAAAATAGGCATAGCAAGTATTATCTACAATAGTCTTTGTGAGGATTCATGAAAGAAAGGCATGAAGTGTTTAGGACACTGTGTGGCACACAGCAGACACTGAGTAAAAGCTAATTTTACTTTTTTTTTATATAGTCATTAAGAGGTTAAGAGCCTGGACTCTGAAGAAGACAGGCTGACCCAAATTCAAATCTCAGATAATTGCTCCTGGGCGAGTGACTTAATTTTTCTGAGCTTCGGTTTCCTCCTCTATAAATCAGAGATGATGCAAATGCACTGGTCAGGAGCCTGGCAGGAAACAGAGGGCACATTGAACCTGCGCAATGTGAGAAGAGTTTCATAAAGAGATTATATGCATCGGTATGAACAGGTTGTAGGAAGAGCAACAGGGTAAAGTGCAATCCCTGGGTCTAGCAAAGGGAGGCGCTGTTCCAACCCTGAGCCTGCAGGATCTAGGAAGAGTGTTAATTCCGGAACCCGGAAAGGGGAGCTGTTGGAACAAATCACCCATCAGGGGCAGTGGTTTTTGGAAGATGACCAGCCAGCCGATACCACTGGCAAGGAGGAGCCTGGGGGATTAATATCCCAACCCCATTGTCTTCTTTCCCCTGATTTCCTGCCAGGTCTCTTCTCTTCTTGGACAAACCCTACCAGAGGCCAGGGTACATGGGAGCCCACTGATGTCGCCCACCCAGGTCAGCCTCCTGGGCTCAGAGCAAGGACAGTAAAGGGCAAATGTCCCCGCTAGAGGAGCAAAGAGATGAAATCCAATATAAGAAGTTCCCTCCTGGGCACCTGGGTGGCTCAGTCGGTTAAGCGACTGCCTTCGGCTCAGGTCATGATCCTGGAGTCCCGGGATCGAGTCCCACAGCGGGCTCCCTGCTCAGCGGGGGGTCTGCTTCCCCCTCTGCCCTCTTCCCTCTCATGCTCTCTGTCTCATTTTCTCTCTCTCTCTCAAATAAATAAATAAAATCTTTAAAAAAAAAAAAGTTCCCTCCTTATAGAGTCCAAAGGATTCATTAAAATCATGTTGATAAAGCCTTTAGCACATAGTAAGGCTTTGCTCAGCGATGGCGAACCTGTGGTTAGCCTGAAGCCCCGCCCCCCGCCCCCTCCCCCCCCCCCCCCCCCCCAGCCTGAGTTCTCCAGCTTGGTACCAGGCCAGGCTTGACCCAACCTAACAGTGTCGGGAAGGGAACAGAGCTGATCTTCTGCTACATTCTGTGTTTACTTAGAGAAAACTTGGCTGCTGAGAGGAAGGGAAGGTTGACTGTGGTTTTCTGCAACAGCTGGGGGTGGAGGGGAGGTGGAGAGGGGGTGGGGGCTGGAACATATTAGGGGACGTTAAATCAGGAGACCTCAGAGCCCAGGGATCTGAGAAGAGTCCACGTTGAGGGCAGTGTTCGCCCGAATTCTCTTTGCCAAGGGACTGTGGATTTCGGGGCTGAGCACCGTGGCCTGAGACCTGGCCCCCAAGAGGCAGGGCCATGGGCCAGCCCCAGCACCGGCCACGTGGAATGTGCCACTCTTGGAATCAAGAGGCCCTTGCTTTTTAAAATTGGCTTGTAAATCTCTGTGTAGTTTGCAGAGTTGAGGAATTTTATTTTATCTGGATTAAAGTCGTGTTCTGCTTTGGCATCGGAAGGCGTTTATGACTGTTAAAACAAGAAATGAAAAATATAGGCCTGGAATCAGCGAGGCTGCCTCCTGCCAGACTCGGAGGGATTTGTCTTAGGGGCCAGGCGGAAGGTTTTCTGCCCCTTTTCCCCTGACGACTCGGGTATTGCTTGATAAAGCTGCAGCTGACTGAGTCGGAGCAGTGAATGCAAGGGTTTGGGAGGGCGTGTGAAGAAAATCTTTTTTACCTTTGGTTAGGTGAGCTCCTCCACCTCCTCTTCAATTCTACCGCCCCCCCCAACCCCAAACCATACCCTCTAGGGCACTGTTTAATGTCACTGTCACTTGGCTACACTTGGTCTAGGGGGCAGGTGGCTTAAGACTTTTGATTCATTGTTTTGGGATAACTATGAACTCCCAAATTGCAATTTTGGACAGGATTTAAATAACTGAGATTCCAGCTTCCATGGCCTACTTTGCCAACTTTTTTATTCCCTCTTGCTTTTAAAGCACTCTCTCTCTCTCACATACACACACACACACACACACACACACACACACACACACTTCTTTCCTAATGGTAAAATCATACATGCTTCACGAAGAACATGTGGAAAGCAAAGCAAAGCACCAATGCGGAGGGGGGGGGGGTGTGTGCAAAAAATCATAAGAGAAAATCGTTCAAGCTTTTGGCAAAGATTGTTCTAGTATACTGCCTCCTATCCATCTATCATCTATCCTTTTTTAAATACGATCACAGACAGCATGTAATCTTGTTGCCTGTGTTTTTACTTCTAGGTTGTAAGCATCTTCCCGTTCCTGCAGACAGTGCATTGTATTTTATGACAAAAATACTAATGACGACCACTCATAAGAATTCAGCCTTTGTAGTCAGAAAGATCTGGGTTCGAATCTCAGCGTGGTCAATTTCTAGCTGTATCTTTGGGCAAGTTACTTAATCTCGCTGGGCCTGAGTTTGCTCATCTGTAAAATGGGGATAAAACTGTATCCACCTCAGAGGAAAGGTTGCTGGGAGGACAGTAACATTCCGGCAAATAAATAAGAGCCCAGGGTGGGGGTGAGGGGGAATGCTTGGCTCCCTAGTGAGTGCTCAGTAAATTCCAGTCCATATTCTTACTGAGATGGTCAGCAGTGATCCGTGCAGGACATTTGTCTGTGTTTTTCCCTTCCTGAGAGTGCTCTGTGCAGCATTCTCTCTAAATCAGAACTTTGGGCTCCACAGCATTTGTTTCATGGTTAACAGCGAGATGATTTTAAACTTCTATCTTCCCCCAAGACTGCTCGACAAAATTGGCAGTCTGTACTATGCAAAAATTCACCCAGAAATGGAAGAGAGGGACATTTGCAAAAGCTGGGTTGTGTCTACAGAATTAGAAGGCACAGTTGGACTAATTTTAGTGCCTAAAAATGGAAAACATTGGAATCATGCTTCATGGGAAGGCAAGTTCTCGAAAGTGGCAAAAGGAACCATCAAGACTGGTTGAAATGGGGACCATTCCCTCAAGGTCCGGGCCCCGTCCCAATCTGTGCACAGACTCTGTTTGGCTGGAAGGGAAAAGGTTCAGGGAGAAAGGGTTAACTGTCTTTCAAGTCTTCCGGGTGGAAGCGATCTTGTTCACACTGCCTCTTCATTGTCTTGGTTTCCCCAACTATCTGCTTTCCTTTGTCTTGCCAAAGATAATGCTGATCCTGTGACCAGGCAGTCACCGTGCTGGGGCTCTCTGCTATTTTGTCCTTTGGGATTTCCGAGAGGGGCAGGCCCCTGTGATTGGCCTCACGTGGGCAAACGGCACACAACTCACTTTGTATCTGAGGACCAGAGCGGGGGCCTGGCTCCCTTTCGGCACAGCCAATCAGGCCAGGGCTGAGAGTTTATGAGATGAAGGGGAACCACTTTGAAGAAAGGAGCCCTTGTCTGCTGCTTCGCCATCGCTCGGTGGTGCGCGTGGGGCAGTGGGGAGGGGTGGGCACGGCCAGAAGGCTGGTGCCCTGGGGATGGATGGGGAAAGAAAAGAAGCAGAGAAACCAGGGTCAAAAGTCTTTCTGTGGACAGGAGAGCAAACTGGGCAGACTGCCTTCCTCTCTGCAGGTGTGTTCACCCAGTGGGGAGCCACGGCCATCCCCAAAGGTCAGGGAAGATGATGGGTGCGTCGCAGCCCCTGCTGAGTTTACCCCCAGCCTGCACCCCTCCTATAGAGCAGAACCAGGGAGGGTAAGGTGGAAACACCTCTAGAAGCAATCATGGTGGCCAATAATCTAGAAGCAATATCTCCACCAAGGCAGAGAGGGGCTACTTCAAATCCTCATCCCCCCATGTGCTTTTACTTCATATCTTGGAGCCTCAGTTTCCCCCCAAGGGGGTCATTTTTAATATCTTGCTCACAGGTCTGTTGGGAGGACTACGTGAAGCATTTAGCACAGCGCCTGGTATGCAGTAAGTGTTGAATAGCTAGAAGCTATTATTATTAATTGCAATCATATTTGGTGTCACAAGAGGTATTCTGCTTTCACTGAAGCCAGAAATAGGGTCCATTCCTTCAACTGTTCTTTTATCCATTTACTCAGACAATCAATGGACATTTAATAGGGCCTACTACGTGCTGGCTGTTTTACTGGGGATGATGTCCTCGGGGTTTACGATGTGTTTAACTCTGTTTTAAGCCCTTTCTGTGTACTAAGTTATATAAGCTTCACCACCACACCACGGGGTAAGTGTTGAGAAATTGAACTTGGCTGAGATCACATAGCTAGTAAGATTAGGAGCTGGGATTTGAACTGAGGTCTGCCTGCCTCTCAAGTCTGTCTCTTAAGCACCCTGCCACTCCCAAATGAATAAATAACACATGATTCCTGTCCTCCCCCTCCCCCCTCCCAGGCAGTTCCTTCCACTGGAACTGTCTGCAAGGAGAGAAATATTCGCTGTCTGCACTGCCCAATACAGTACCCACTGGTGGCTACTGAGGACTTGAAATATGACCAGTGCAACTGAGAGACTGGATTTGAAATTTTATTTAATTTGCATTAAATTCAACAAGATTTAAAGAAAGCCGCATGTGGCTAGTGGCTATGGTATTAACCAGCACAGCTCCAGGAATGTAGAGCCTAGATGAAGAAATTCACATCAGTCGAGGGGGTAAGTGTTATGCTGGATACAGCTCTGCCTAAGCTCCAAGAGCACAGACAAGAGAACATAGCTTTGGTGTGGGGTGTGGCCTGGGGCAAGGTCACCGGAGGCTTCCTAGAAAAAGTTGTCTCTGAGCCGAGTCTTAAGGAAGGGGCTGTTGGCAGGAGGGGAGGTATTTTTAAATATATCCAAATATGCTGGATTTCACAACAGGGCCTGTGGACAGCCAGTACTT